TCTAACAATTAAATTGCAGAAGTAATTGCCCCATCATGTTGGGCTTATTGGAGATTAGAGAAATCCATACAGGAAAGATCCAGCAGGACAATGGTCTAGGAAGTGATTTAGGAAAGTTAATAGGTATGTGATTGCTGAAACCTGGGAGAACATATCTGCAATGGTTCTGTCCCATATCTACAATCTTGTCTTGAGTATCTACTACAGGACAGTGTCAAAGATGCTGGGCTAGATGCTATCTTGGTATGACTGTAGTATATCCAGGAATGTGTTTGTTGGTTTGGGTTTTTTTAATGAGACTTTCAACCAGCTTTCTGACKAGAAATATTCAGAATATAATGATTTTAAAATTATATAATCAGACACTTACATTTTCTGAGCCTGTGRCTTCTAATAATTTCCTTTACAAATGCAAAATATCTTAAGTTGTGTTTTGCTGGTAACAGATGAGAAAAGTCTGGACTACTGTTATCAGGAACTCATCTCTCTATCATGATGTTCTGCACTGGTAAAATAGGCATCCTAGAGATATCTTCCAAAAGTTTCAGAGTAGCTTAGTGAAGAAAAAATAGCAGGGTCAGCTCCCTGGATCATGAGTCAAAGTCCTGTTTTTAGAAGCCTTGATGCTACAGTAAGTACATTTTATTGTGGTTCCCAAATGCTTTGGAGACTTTGAAGACTCTGATTTCTGAGGGGCTTAAGTGTTTATGAAAATGCTGACATGAAAGAGAAATGTCAGAAGGGAGGGAGGAAGGAAGGAAGATCAGAGGAGGAAGCAAACAGTGGACATCCTGTTCTTGGCATTGACTTTGTGTAGTGTTTGCACTTTTGTGTCTTTCTGCTCGGGTTTTGGTTTCAGGTAYCCTTAGCAGACCTTTCTCCCTCCAAGGTATCCAAACAGGACWCTTTGTTGGAAGAGCTCCTTTAGGCCAAACACTGCAGGAAGCTCTGTGCCAGATCAGGGTGAAATACCAGTGAAGTTATGAAACACCAATGAAGTTAATTTGAAAAATCCATCAGATAAATTAAATGAGAAACTGAAAACATTTGTTTATTTAATATTTAAAACATTCATCTTTATCAGCTGTAATATTTCCTACCCTTTGATACTGTTCCACACTACCATTCTTCTGAGGATCTCATCTTGCTAAGGTACAGAACACGAGTTTGATTATATGAAGGCAGTGGGCCAAAAAGCTAGAGGTCTTATGCAAATTGAGATGTGCATTCATTTGCATAATGCTTCTGATATATAGATATAGCAATATATGTATGCATACATACAGCCATTATCTCTCAGTTTCTTTTGAAAGATACTTCTCCTTTCCCAGCGTTTCCCTGAGCTCGGTCTTGCCCTGGGTCATGGTTGTCTCTGATGAGAACTGACCACTCTGAAGTCCAGGCACTCCTCTCCCTGCAAGCATAGGTTTGTTACCAGTTTAAATTGTGTAGAAATCTTTCCTGCTTTTGTGGTGGTTGTCGTCTCCACTGTTGATTTGTGCTGGTAAGGAGTAGTTAAGAGCTGTGGRAACTGAGCTATTTCTAGGTGCATCCAGTAGCAGTTGTCTTTGGCCAGCATAATCACAGGACAGTTGTGTGTGATGAGCATTACAGAGAATGGCTTATGGACATTTATTCACTCTCTACTAGTTTTTCATCCTCTTTGAAGATGAGGGTTAGAGCAGCCATGTGGAATAACCATCTGAGCTCAGCTCAAGTGAGAATCATTTTCCATTCTTTCGTGGGTTTGGATTGTAAAGACKTGCTGAAATCTTCCTGCAGCTTCACCATGGGGATCATCAGTGGGATTCTGAGGCTCAGCTCTGCTGTAGGCACTGAATAATGTACTGTAGGAATCAGCACAATGTCAGGTGGGGAGGCCAAGCTGAAGATTTTGTCAGATAAGGAGGCTGGGAAATGGATTTGACTTCCCATACACCAGTTTAAAGGAATGTTGAGGCTGCCATCCTCAGAGACAATCTCATCCTGAATGATCAGTGGAAACTGATTTTGTGTAAAAGTTTAGAAAAGAAGACCTGTCTATTTATTCTAAATAAATAAAAATCTGTTTTATTAAGAATAGATGTTAAGAATATTACTCTATTAAGAATAGAGTAATAAATCAAGTAAGCTTTGTATTTGTCARTCATTTTCAGTGTTTTTACCATGTGTTTAGTTGGGACTTAGAGAAGTTGAAGGGTTTTTATGCCACAAGTGACTTCTTTCAAATCTCTAGAGGTAGGCCCTAGTGTCCAGTCTCCAGAAGGTGTAAACTGTCACATAGGGTTGGCAACAATTAAAGCTTCCGAGAATCTACCCTCACTTCTTCCAAAGCAGTCACTCGTCATGTTTGACATGTAGGGAGCCACCAAAACTGGAGCCAGAAAAKCTTTATCAAAAACCTGACTGATTATTTTGACGTTTACGTGGAACCAAATCTCTAGAAAATCTGGTCCAAAATTCAGTCTCATCCATGCTGCACTACCAATGTTTTCATGTTTAGGTAGATAACTTGAGCTGCATTGAATGAGAATTGTACAATGAAAGAAAGAAAAAGCCCCTTAGGCAGAACTTTGAAAAAATTCAGAAACAGTAAGGTATTACTCTGCCAGATCTACCAAATCTTGGAGTTGATGGAGTTCTCGGCATAACTTCAGAAGACTCTTTTATTCTATTTACTGAACTGGGTTACTATTAAACTGATAGGCTGATCATAAAGTGACTTTATTGAAAAGAAAGATTACCAAGTAAATAATTGAGTAAATATTTTCCAGGCATCCGTATCCGATAGACTGCTTGGTATGGTATRGATAGTAAGCAGTACTGCCTTTTAAGACTGCTGTAATGCAAAGTGCTCCAAAAAGCCTGAACCTGGTAGGACTGAGACCTGAGAAGAGAAAATGTAAATCCTGCACCATCAGGCCAAGATCATTGCAAGGCATATAATGTACAGTAGTTCTAGATCCCAGCTGTTTCATTTCTTCAAGTCCTCCTTTTCRTAAATGCGTCTTAAAATAAGTTTGAGGCAAATAATTGAACACAATTGGAAGAAATTATTCATATAAAAGCTTTTTAAAGAGTTTCAAATGTAATAATTTTATTCTAGCATATGGATTTGGGCTTGGTGGTAAATTGAGCTGTCTCTTTATGGGTGAGGTAAATCATTAGCATTTGCTATCAAGAGCAGAAAAAAATGTTTATAAATCATTGCATTCATTTCATATTATTCATCAGGGTTGAAAGGCAACTGTTCAAGTTACTTCGTGATACTGTAAACAGAGCTCTGGGCAGGCTGCACACTTTGCAGCGTAATTTGTTTGTGCGTGTACTGAGACTTTCCTTCACKAAGTGTTCAGCTAATCTTCCAGAGAGGAGAATCTAGATTCTAGGGTGCTGTTCTGAAGAAGCAAATTTGAGTTGGCACTAACAAGACAGCAACACCTCCTGACTCACAAAGGAAGGGTCTAACCAAGATGTCTTATTTATCTTTCCGTCTTGTGCAGCAATAGGCAAGGAAAGTCTTCACTTCCCCTTTTCCTGCACACTCCCAAGATCTCTGATGGGGTTATGAAAATGTTCAGGTCTGGAAAAGAGCACTCACTGAGGGAAGGGAGGATTTTGATACAGAAACTTTGAGTCAATAGAGCTTAACATTTCCTGGTAAATTAAAAAAAGAAAGGAGGACTGTCTACACACTTGCATTGTAGTTCAAGACAGAATGAGACTGCCCGGTTTCCCTGGGTGCTGCTCTAATTACCCCAGAGCTTTTTTTCCCTYGAAAAGAGCTATGACTGCTGTCATATGAAGTACAGGCAGCACAAACAGCCAAGCAAACTGCTGGAGCTCCCTATGTCCCTGAAGTAGTGACTGGCTGAGTTTCTGCAGCATTTCACAGCTTCCTGGCCTCGCTTGCAAGAGTACGAGTGAAAGCAGCTTGGGCTTACCTTAGTGTGTTGTGGCCAGTTCTGAAGGAATTAATTTCTGCAGGAGCTGTGCCAGCTCTTTTGAGGTTTGGAGTGTTGTAGATCATTTAGCTTTATTGTGGTTTTCTTGTCCCTTCCAAAAATAAAATGAAAGCAAAAACACACACCAACTCCCTTGCTGACATGTTGGCACATACTGTGAAATATCTTAACTGGCTGAAGACACTTCATAAAAAAGGAAAACATGGAATTTTCAGGTGGCAAGTTCCTTTTATCCAAAGGAAAACAAAGCAAAAAATAGATATGATTCACTTTCAGGAACAAAACAGGATAGTTGCAAAGTTGAATCAGATACCTATTAGTGGCAGTGGTTTCTCAGTGCTGAAACACCAATATGTGTTAAAAATTAGAGCATAAGAACAGTTATGCCAAAGAGAAGTGATGGGGGATAGGCCCTTAAAACAGCCAGTAGCTAAAGCTGCCTTTGTGGTTTATAGATTTGCCTATTAAGATGACAAATCAGACAGGGAACATTTAGATTTAAGGAGCCTTCTTTTCACTGAACAACATTAAACAAACTGACAAATAGGGGGTTATGCCTYCAGTAATTGAAACATGCAGTTCTGTTCAAGACCAGAACTTTATAAAGACTCTGTTCACCCAGTAATGCCCTTTATGTTTGCGTGCTCCCCCTGCTAGAAATTACTGTAGACCTGAGGTAWGTCTTTCCAAGTGGCGGGGGGATGACAGAGTGCAACCCCACACCTGGCAGATGGGAACACAACATTTTCAGGATGTTCATTGTGCGTTGGAAGTCAATTTGAAGCTCAGAATACGTGGAGATGTAGCTGGATTCCCCTCCCTGCTGTTTGAGGTTTTGTTTTGGTTTTTTTTTCATGTTAACTTTAAGTCTAGGATGCAGGAGTAATAATTAGAGGAATTAATTTGAATTAACTGATTCAGGTAGTCTTCATTAGCTAAAYTTACAGTGTGCCTTTTTGTGGATTCCTTGCTCTTCTAGATGTCTATTCTGAATTTGTACATTATCTTACATTTCTTTTTCCTTCTGTCTTCTAGATGTTGATGAGTGTCTGGATAACAATGGAGGGTGCCAGCAGATTTGTGTAAATACTATGGGCAGCTAYGAATGTCAGTGCAAAGAGGGTTTTTTTCTGAGTGATAACCAGCACACCTGCATTCATCGCTCTGTTGGTAAGTTTTCAGTTTTTATTGTGCAAAACGGGCTCTTTAGAATAACAATGTTCGTCAGAAAAGCTGACTGGGTTTTGTTGGTTTTGTTTTTTTCAATCTCTACAGTTCCCAAAATCATTTTACTGGTTGATTGGAATTGATTGATTCCTCTGCTACCCAAGCTTGCAGTAGAGCCATAAATACGACAAAGAAACAGGCTTTWGTTTGACACAGAAATTAAATTTGTTTCACACTGCAGACTTTGGGCAGGCAGAGACAGATTTTCAAATGATAACTTTTTTCTTCTGAGTTTCCAGGACTTATAAATTTCTYACCTGTTTAGAGCACCCATGTTTCACCTTTGAAAGCATGAATCCAAATTGAACAGCTCATTACTTTTATAAATTATACAGGTTATGGCTTTTTTTGCCAGTCATGTAATTCATTACTTCATTGCAGACTGATCATGGCTGATAYTATATTGACACAGCACTTTTCTTTGGTTCAGTACCATGTCCTAGGGTGGATTAAAAAACCCTTTCTCTGTTGCCTGTGYACTAGCAATAGAAATAAGGAATCCCTGCAAAACTGTGATCCTTGTCTGCTGCTGTTTTGGACTGGAATAAGCAGCTCTCCCTTTTCTATAGATGTCAGACATGGAAGACAAGTTTGAGTGGGAAGGGAGAAAAGAAAACAACATAGCTATAAATCTTTGCAATTAAGTGGACCCTTTCAATGTTCATTTGGACTTCTGTGACCCTRGCAGCAGTGGGAATATATGCTAGCAAACTCATTTACCAATAAGCAATACAGGATGACAAAGTAGCAAGATGAGACTGGTGATCAACAATGCAAGCATGCTGTAAATTTCAACAAGCCACAAAAATGCTTCTGAACTATTTCAAGTGACTAATATTAACCAGTAAATCGTTCTTGAACACAGAATATAAATTTAGTCACGCTGTTGACAAGAAAGCAAAATGTCATAGTGTAGTATCTCAGAAAGCAAAATGTCGTAGTGTAGTATCTCAGAAATGTAAATGTAATTTCTGGCACTGTGTGTCTGCTTAAACAGAACTGTGAAGACAAGTAGTAATTTTGATTTTCAGAATTGTGAAACTATGGAATATATTGATAGGTTCACTTTTTAGCATCGTTCTTAAGTTGTAAGTATTTTGATTATGACAAGAATATACAATTAAGCTACATGAACCAGTGCATTTTTTAGGTTGCTATCTAATACGTTTTTAGTCATTCTTTTCAACTTAAATAGTCCAAATTTTAGTCCAGTGTAAAGTAAGCCTGACATAAAGATATCCAACAGAGCAAGGAATAGTAGCTAGAGGCTTGATGAAAATCACTTGCAGAGTACTGCACTGCAATCATTATTTCAATTTGCACATTATAAAAATCYCCAGCTGTAATAAAAAAACAATTTAGTTATCTGAGATGGAAACTAATGAAATAAATGAAAAATGAGACTCTAAGGCAAAAGTTTATTCTAAGGAATAGTTTTATTGGGGGAAAAGGGTATGTTTTTATGGCAAAGATGACTGAGGGAGTGGATTTGAACACTGGTTGCTGTGTGCACATAATAAATATGCATGGGAAAATAYATTTGTGTTAACTTGTTTACAAAGAAAATGCCATATAAGATATTTAAGACATTTAATTTGAAGGAATATTTAAAAATTATTTTAGATCTGAAAAAAAAACCCTAGAAAACTATGAAATACACCAGCAGGGATTGCAGAGTGTTTTATGAACAAATGGTTTGCAGCTTTTCAAAATAACAGCAAAAATAACAGCAAACATGACACTCTGGTGTCATGATCCCCCACAGAAATACACTGTAGTGTCATGATCCCCCCACAGAAATACATCAGGTGGGTATGCTCAAGGAAGGAACTGAGATGAAATGGTCTCTCACTTGTCAGAGGTGCCTGAACTGCAAGCAGTAAACATGTATGGTGAGAAAGCAAATGGGTTTTTTAATATCTGTGTTTATTCACTTCCATAGGTCTCACTTGTAAATGCTGCTACCRAAACTGTTGTAAGACAAAAATACACACCAACATACTTAGCCAGAACGGTGCCTAGGGCTATATTGTGACTGTACCTCTGTTGGTAAACAAGACAAAGTGGACAAAGGCACACCATGCAGCCAGCACTGCAATCCAAACACAAAGGCACTGATTTGCCAAAGCCCTTTAGTGAGTTTTTTGATTCTGTGCATAATTAGATCCATTCACTGCAGTGTAGCTACGTTTCTAGCTTTGTGAAATGCATGGGCAGTCACAGAATGTTGGTGTCCTTGACATTACCTAAAGTCTCTCCAGAGATTCAGCTAGTCTAAAACCATCAACCACAAGGTTCTTCTTGCACCTTTTCCCTCCCATTTTCAAATGCCTTGGGAAAAAGGGAGAAGCATTGCAAGGTGCTTAGGGCATAACTGGAGCTGGGATGAGTTTTAGAAGGGAGGGAGCAGCACTAAGCCTGAGGATGCCCTGTTTACAGGCCCAGCYCATCCTCCTCAGCCACCAGCAAGGCTGGTGCTGATCACATGCTTGGAGCTCATCAGCACATTCAAGCAATGGGATGATTTTAGAGTTGAAAAGAGGCATTGGGTATTGGGAGTTGAGAGGAACGAATACATMGCGTTTTGCACTAATCAGGCAAAGGAGTGGTGTCTTCTGATAAGAGGTATCCTCCTTAAAATTGTTGGTTGCTGTATGAATTTTCTCCASTTCCTGAGATGCACTGTGCTTGTCCCAGTGTTTTTGGGATGTTTGGTGTCACCATGCTCCTACCCACTAGTTGTGGTTAAAAGCCCTATTGGAGTTCCTGGTAGGGGCTCATGTTCTTGTTTCCCAAATTACGTATTTGCTTACAATTCAGAAGTGTTATTATTTCCTATAGACAAAAATAATTAATGATCCTCAGAGAAATAATCATTTTATACTAGTGGGAGGCCAGGCYAACATTAAAGTCAGAGCAAATCCTGGTGTCCCAGCATTTGCTTTGTTTCACAGTCTTCATTACTGATGGCTTCAGGCTTACTGATTTCTTATGTTTTGTGTCAGTRCCTTTTGGGAGGATGCTATGCCCAGTACAACTTACCTCATTTATTTTCACATAAAATTTAATTTTGCTTTTCTGAGTCAGATTTCAGTACTAGTTTACTCACAATAATGATGGCAATAACAGAGAGCAAGAACAGGAGGGAGAATAAAGTAAGTGTAAAAGTGCTAACAGTTGTTTATCTTTGTACATATTAATTGCATTAGTAGGTATGCAAACTGGGAATTATACCAAAGACAGGGTTGTGTTTGTTTCCTCATGACTTAAAAAGAAATCTGAATAAAACAGCTGTTACTGTATCATCTCCAGCTCCAGAGGGAGCATGTGTTTTATAAATGTGGAGATTAGTATGGTACACTACAGCTGTGACTGAGACAGGTTAGTGGGTTACAGCATGTTTTTATTGAATTTGGCAATAAGACAAAAGCCCTAATTCAATAAAGCCTTGGGGCACATCCTTAAAATCCTAATTTAGCGAAGTTGTTTAAAAATCTGAATTGGACTTTAAAAGTRTCAAAATAGACAGAGTCCCTATAGATAAGCAAAGGAGGCAGAGAGATGGAGTGTCTTTATTGGCACTGAATTTCAGAATGAACACACTGAAGGATAGGGTACATCCCATTGCATTACAACTTACAAAAGCCATTGTGGGCAGCAGCCCTGGCTACAAACTGCTTCACCTGCCCAAATYCCTGGCTGAGTCCCACCTCCAGGGGAAAGTCTCCTAAAGTACAAAGATTATTTGCCTACAAGCAGCATACTTCAGGAGCTCTGTGGCTAAGAAGAATTCTACCACTTTAGATTCCATCCCCTGAATGGCTACCTCTAGCATAGTTGTTTTAGTGGTCTTATGTCTGCTCATCATTCTCTGCCAATGTTTTTATACAGCAAGTACCAAGTAAACTACAAAGACAGGTGAATTTTGSGTGGTAATTACATGTGGACAGAAGAGGTGGAAAAGTACCAGGCTATAGAAGGCTGAAATCATGGTGATCTCATCAAMTGGTAAAAAAGCTTTTTACACAGTTGTCACTGCCATTTTCAAGCCTGTTAAAAAACACTTGGCAAGGAAGGAAATGCTTTTTTACCTCCACTTATCCCATTAGCCTTATGTTCTTAACAGAGTTAGGGAATTTGACTTAAAGCTACCACAACTTAGCAAGACKCTCAAAACCAGCTTGTCTCCTTCTGTACTAGAAGTGTGTATGTTTAGTCACAGAGGAAAGGAAATATGCTAAGCCACATTGTCTTGCACTTGCTAAGTAGGTCTATAGAATGGCTTACTATGCTTGTGCTGATACAGGGAAATTTGTTAGATTTAATTATATGTTAAACCCTTGTTAATTTTCAGTAGTAGCGTAGGAGTCCTTTGGTCAGCTGACATCAAACAGGATTTTTAAGCCATCTTCGTTCATTTTTTTTTCTTCCTATTTTCCATGATTTCTTTTTATTCTTCATATGTTTTCTTAGTTCAGTGAGATTTTGTAGTGGCAAAATAATGCATTATGACTCCCTGTGAGGAAGTGCTCTCCCCAGTCACTTCCGGAAGAGTTACAGTTGGGATTTTGGGATTCTTTATTCCCAGCTCTGTGCTGATCCCYTGTGGGACTCTGGGCAAGAAGGTTATTGTGACTCAGAATTTCTGCAAAGCACTTCAGAGGACAGAGGTGTTTTTTCCTCCATAAAGCACARTAATCTATTAATCTTTAAATTTGTATAGAAGGGTGACTTTAAATAATTGAGTGTTKTCAGCACTGTTCCAGACTTTATGAAGTACAAGTTTCTCCTCTCAACAATGAAAGCTCTTCCATTATGATGTAACCATTTAAATGACTCCATTACCTGAACATGCCTCACCATGGCTAATACCCTGAGTACAGGCATTCCATTCACAGAACAATCCTATTTTTCTTTTTAAATTGGAATCCTMATATGATTGT